TTCAAGCTCAAGAACCATTCTAAAGTTCCTTCTCGTTATTAGCCAACTTAATCTAATTAATGACTAGACCTACATTATAACAACTGTATCAGATCTGGACATAAAAACTGGGTTTCCCCTAGAAACGTTAGCAGCAGAAGACCACATGGTAATCCACTGGAAGCTGCTGGTCATGAAGTTAATCCAAAATGAGTTTCAAATTTCCAGCGACTTTGGAGAAACTTTAAGAAAGTTTCAGAGATAGAATCATCCGTTATTATTTCAAAACCAAAGATCTGTGGGTTTTTTTTGCCCACATAGCGTTTCTTTTGGTATGTGTGGCAGAGAATAATAGCCGAATAGGAACCTTAAGAGTCAGACATCCTACTCACCCAGCTCAACAGAAAGCGCTCTTTGGACTGCTCCTTGTTTTTGATGAGAAAATATTTCTTCCTTATCCTCCAGCCTGAAAAAAATACAAAAAACAGATTACATTACAGAACTTTTAGTAAATAAACCAACATTACTTCAACCAGAACCTTTAAAATCCAATTGCTTCTTAAAGCAGATCATTTTAAAATCCTTTTTTCTGACTCAAAGTGGAACTTTTCAGAAAAACCCACTAAAAGAGGAAGTAGTTTGTCTGAAATAACAGCTATGAATTCATTTCGTTAAAGCTTATTATGATCTGGTGTGAAAGACATGATGTCAACAATGTATTTAGGGTAGGATCAAGATCTAGCAGGAACACTAGTATGACCAGGAACTCCATCAGAGATGTCGGTGAGGCTTACCCATATCTTTGAGGGGCTCCAAAACCTCCCACTTTGGGTCCGACCTGAAGAACATGGAGACCTGCTGCAGAGCAATTTCTGTGACAGAGAGAGTAATGGTTTACACTTCAGTCTTTTTATTTAAAAAAAATACAGATAAGGGCCCTAAAACCTTAACGAGGGACTTCTACGATTAGTAAATACTTTCGACCAAAGAGCTGCTCCAGCTCCCAATGCAGGCCTGGATCTGTCTCTGATCACTCTGTAACTTCTCAGAGCGCCTTGCAAGTTCAACAGAAAGGTTTGTGCAAATGCTGAAACCAACCTGTGTAGTTGGCAGAGTAGTTGTTGGGGTCCAGGAACTTCTTGACAAACAGGGAAGTAGAAATCAGGGGATGCTGGGTAATGAAGTCCAGGTAGGCCTGCAGTCCCCTCTGCCTCTCTGCTATGAACTCTCTGTCCATGTTTCCGATCAGCTTCTTCGGAGGGAGCGGCAAACTGATTCCACAGACCTAGAAAAAGGAAAACAAGAAAATCCTTCACATTCAGTCTGGAGAAAAACACCAAGAGGTTTGATTCTGGAAAAATGAAATGAGGCGGCTTCCCAGAGACCAGAGAAATTTCCAACAACTGTGATCAAGACAAATCAAAAGGATGCAGAGTTGGTTACACATCATCAAGGTATTACAGCCCCCGTGTTTGCTCAAATGCTTCTAGTTTTTATCCAAGAAAGAGCTACAAAGATGCATGAAGCAGACTGGGCCAGCTGCTGATATCAGTTTTAAACTGGGTTTTAAAAAGCTTCTATTGCTAAATGTTACAATCTGCCATCATACAGTTCCTACAGGTTACTGTACATTTATTGCTGCAAAATGCCATTAAACTGACTCAAAACAATGCTTAAATAGCTATATTAAACTAACAATAAAGGTAGGAAAAACATTATTACAGAATTCCTTACAAAATTTTAGCACAAGTAAAACTAATCGATACATACTTGAAATATCAATAGTTCGATCTTAAGCTATTTCTGTAATTATGCTGCTATAGGCTTAGGCTGCTGGAGGACATGGCGACCACTTCACATAATTCCACTTCATTCTGTCTCTATTCTCATTCTGTAGTATTTGTTGGTTCAACTCCTAATGTTTTTATTATTATAAAAAATACAAAATATTGAAAAAAAAAACAACATGAAATTAAACACAGAAAAATCATTCATAAACCTAAGAAATTAAGAAAACCAAGGAACAGTATTACTTAAGGACATAATGAACAGAATTTCCTAAAAAATACAAATATGGATTTTTAAGAATTGTAATAAAGGAACAAATCAAATCAAAGAGGTCAGTCAAAAACAAACACTTCCAAAATAAACTTCCAACCAAATTAGTGGTTGAAAGTATCGCAAAAAGAAATTAAATCAATCAAAATTCATGATCAATTTATTGTCAATTGTATTAATGAAAGAACTTCCTGAAACAAAAGCATTTTCAAACTCAGTGGCAGAAAGAAACTTAAATAACATAAACAAATCTCGATTAACTAAACTTTTAAACAACTTAATAATATTTACCTTTCTTTTCTCAAAATGGATAATGTTTCTAGCCAACCATATCGCCATCCTGGCATGTCTTAACAAAAAATTATGGTCTCTCTGCTTTTTAACATCATAGCAGCTTCATCTGGTCAGATTCTGTTTAGCTTTCCGTAAAAGTTTAAAAAAAAAACAATCCACTGGACTTGGTTTCCAAGATCTGAAGACGTTTCGCTTCCCCTCCAGGAAGCTTTCTCCAATGAAACGTCTTCAAATCTTGGAAACCAAGTCCAGTGGATTGTTTTTTTAAACTTTTATGGAATGACTATGACCTGGATGACAGAGAATCTTCATCAGCATTCTGTTTAGCTGTGTCTCCATCCTGGATGGAAATATCAGATGGGCTGCTGCCATCAACACCTTCAATTATAGATGAAAGAGTTGGGCCTGTTTTTAGTGCTTAGTCCTGTTTCTCTTCTAGACACAGCCATGGATTTACTGTGACTAACTGATGTGCTTTCTTTCATCTCTTTGACATGAAAACTGGCTCAGAGCTCATCTGCTAAACTGTTTCTTTCCCAGACGGATCCGGATCCACATTTGCAGCTGGTTTATAATTTTCTAACAGAACATATTTATAGTTCAGTGCTTCCATGTTCATTTTGTGATTGTGCTTCTGTCTTCTTAAATCCTTACTCACACTGAGGCTGGTTGAGTTTTTTTCCTCTCCACTGCCACTGCATGCAAGCTCAGTGTGAGGGATTTCTGCAGAGTCATCAACACAATGCAGTGGAAGTCTACTGTTGCTACATGCTAGTCCAGGAGGAGCGATTCATGCAAACTCAATGACTGGATGCAGATGATTTTCCTTATAGAAAAAAAAACATTTCAAACATCAGTCTGAAAGTATGATCTGATTGAATTGTCTCTATAAAGTTCCTTCAGATGCCATGTGCTGTGAATTGGCGCTATATGAATAAACTGAATTGAATGAATCTCCAGCTTTCTGGGTAAATACGCAGAATAGCTAATTCCAGCACTGGTGGGTAAATAAAACTAAGATTTACTGGTGATGGTGATTCTTCACATTCCTGAGATACAGCCTAAATGTTTTAACCTTCAAAATATGCTCAAGAATTTCCTAAAACATTTAGGAGTTCAGAGATAAAGGGATGAAAATAAAGAGTTGAGCAGAACCCAGAGGTCCGCTGTGTTCTCACAGAGACAGAGTGAAATAGCAAAGCTCAGAGTGTGTCACAATCAGCCAGCAAGGAGTTTGCTTAACCAGCCAAGAGGTTGGTCAAGCACCGGTCACCCCCTCCCCCCCCCCGCTTCATACCCTGCAGTGATTCATCAGGATTCAGTTCTAACTTCTAGGTCTTTACAACACAAATAAAAATAAAACACGGCTGTGAAAGAATAAACCAAGAGTATAAATGGAAGGAAATGTGTTCTAAAAAGGATTTTAATTGGACTGATTGACCAAAATAAACACGGTTCCAGTTACCATTTAGCTCAACTTCTGTCACCTTTCTATCTTCCATGTCTTCTAACTTTAGCTGCTGTATATCCAAACATTTTTAGCTTTTTGCTTCGCTTTAACAGACAAATATCATCAAATGTTAATCAAATGCAAAGAAGAATCCCAAACCACAATCATTGCTGCAATATTTAGGTGAGTAAAATCAACAAGGGCTTCATCGATTCAACATTTAACGTCTAACGACAAAACATAGAGAGGAAAACAACAAGAAAAGGGACAAGAAGAGAGGGTCAAAATGTAGAACAAATAATGGATGTCTATTCTATAAAAAAACATTTGGGGCCCTAGTCTTCGCCTAGGGCCCCAAATGTCCCCTGGGTTTCAAGCGATGTGAGCGTCTCAGACTTCTACTCTAACCTTTTGAGATGCATGACTAGATCGGCCCACTGTCATGTTTCTCTAACATCAAACAGAGGAAGTGACCTCTTCCATGGTGATGAACTTTAACCTTTAACCGAGCGTTTATTGTGGTGAGACTAGAGTGAAGAGAGTGCAACTCACCATCAAGCTGCTGTTCAGGATGTCGAAGTCACTGTAGCGGCGAATCACCTGCAGCAAACGGAACCACATCTGTCAGCTTCAGAGCTCTGGATCTCATCTCATTTTATTTCAATCTGAATTTATTTATCAAGTTATTCGAAAACTATGAGACCCAAACGCCAAACACATTTCCTGACTCCAGTTCTACATCTAAAATTTGATTGGACAGCAGCGACATTTAAGAAAATACACAGTTTATTTGAAGGGAAGAGGCCATTCTGGCTCCCAGGGAGGAGGAAGAGGAATCGAGGGAGCTTGTTTTGAATTATGGTCTGATTCCAGTTCTGTTCACATCCCCATGTAGACGGAAATCATTTCATAACCTGGTTTAGAATCAAAGATGTATTGAACATGATAAAGCTGCAAACAGATGCTGTGATTGGTGTGCTTACCTGCCAGCTGTTGTCTGAGGATACACCCCTCTGGACCCTGATGATGTACTCCTGAGACAAAGAAAAGGTCATGAAAAAGTCAGAAACATTTAGGACCACTTTAATACGACATGATACACGGCGTATTTATGGTGTTTGGTTAAATAAAAGCATATAAACCTAGAAGATTTTCAACTGTCTGAGACTTGTGTTCTGTCCCTACTTATTTAGCCTGAGGTCACCAGGGTCAAAGTCCTAATTATTACAGTTACAGAGGCATAAAACGAAAGGACAATGAAATGAGAAATGATGCAGTTCAAAAAAAAAAAAAATGTACATGTACAACCCTGTACCTGCTCCTGAGAGGGAACGTCTATTAAACCTGTGCAAGAGCGTGCACGCCCGTTTCTCCTCGTGCACGATGTTTCTTAAAGTTGCTGTTTGCATCACTCATACAAGCTCACTTTCCAAAAGAAGATTTACAATTTTTCCACCATGTCACACTCACCCCTGGTAGGTAAAAATGGAGACGAGCACGTATGACAGCCTTACGCAACCATGACTCCAGAATGATTCACAATTAGGAGGACCACTTATTTTGTTGATCCATCTGGAAAAATAGCCTCCTCCACTAAACCTTTAAAGGATTAATTCATGGTCATGGAAACATTTTTACTGTTTAAGAAGATCGCTGTTATCCCCAAAGACTAGAAAACATTATTTAACAAAACCAAATCTGTTTTTTTTTTCCCTTAACTAGTGGAAAAATTCAAATTTTACAGTTTATTAAAAAAAAAAAAAAAAAGCGATATAGGTATATTACAAATATCTAACAATATATACAACATTTATAAAGGTCAGTGATAACATATACACTATTAGGAACGAGCTCTAATGCAAACGAGAGCTGGCCAAAGGTTCCTCGCTCCACACTAAATATGTAAAAACTGTCACTGAGGGAATGAATGCACATGCTGTCATGGCTTTGTATGTAATACAAAGAGTTTGTTACATATTTGCATCAAAGGGATTCAAGGGGTTAACATCATACTACAGCTTTTTATTTCCTTATTTGAACTACTGATATTTGGTTTAGGAAGCTACATATCCCACATATCTAAAGGAACTGAGTACGATTCAGAAATGTTTTTAAAGCTTTATCTCATATTCATAACAGATGTGCTCCATCTGCACCATTATTTACGAGGTATTCTCTACTTCTGCTTCATAAACTGATTAACTATCAGACTTGTGAGTTTATTACAAAAGTATTTGCATGAACCAGGTTCTCTCTGTCCCTCTTTAAATGTCTTTACTTTTACTTCTAACCTGCACTCTTACAGTAGTAGACTCATTACACATTAAGAGAGATTATCACTAAGACCTATGGGGGTTCTATGATTTGGAATCAATTTTTTTATCGGAAAAAAAGTCTGTCTCATATTAATAAGAAATAAGATTGGTGTTCTTCATTTAAACAGCATTTAGTCGCTGCCAGTATTTCTGCCATATCTTCCAATGTACTCTTAAAAAAGCAAATAAAAATGCCTTTTATGTAAAACCATTAATATTTTCTTATTGTTTACTCCATCTCCTGTTTTTATTTTATTACTGATTGTTTTTTTCTTCATCTCCTGTTCTTTTGATGGTTTTTTTGCTAATCAAATGTTAACACTGCATGTACTTTATCTGCTTGTTTTTGTTTTCCTTATTCGATGTTCATTTGTCAATAAGAGAAATTGATCTTGCTTTAACGTAGATGGAGAGGAACACAAGCCAGTCGGCTTTTTCCCTCCTTGCACCATCGTTTGTAAAGAGGTCTGTTTAAATCAATAAATCAAATCACTCTAGCTTTAAGCTTTAACCTTAAAGCTAAGTGAGTTGATTTTATCCATTTAAGGTCTCTATTTGGTTGAATCTGATAGTAATATTCTAATAGATAATTAAGACATATCACATTTAGAGCAGATTTTCCTCATAATGACCATTTGTAATCTGCACTATATCTCAAACTGTTGAAGTGTCTCAAAAAATAGCTTTAATCATTTTTTATTACATATTTTGTTTAAGAATTGGTTGTTTTTTTGCCACAATAATGAAAACATTCAAGCTTATGTTGGAAAGGCTGTAAAGCTGCATAAGTTTTGTTACAGACTATAAAACAATACTAACTCATTCACAGAGTTTATGGGGAATATATATTCACGTTTCACACACGTATTGAGGACAGGAAAATGTCCGCTCAGAGGTTTCTGCAGAGAAGCTGCTGCTGACTCACATGTTTAATCAATGGGAACAAGGGAAGCAGACAGACGAGAACGATCTGGACGCTCTGATGGTTTCTCTGGTAATGTTGTGGTCACACATTTAAAGGAAAAGAGCTGACATCACTTCCTGAAAAGCTGCAGCTCTTCCAGAAACCGTCCATTAGCGCAGCTCTGCACTGCATCTCTGAGGTGGGGGTTGATTGGATAACCGTCGGATGATGCAAACGTTAATCGATGTTCGTCTCTGCTGCTGGTTTGGATAAAAGCAGTTTGTGACGTCCACATCTTTTCTAACAGCTTATCAGTCAAGTTTGCTGTTTATTGTCAGGAAAAAGTTCCACATATTTACCTTACTGACAAGAACGACAGAAAAGAGAATCTAGCTGAGCTGAAAGGAATCGACCTACAGCTTCAACGTCCAATCAGAATCCCTCCATACGCTCTGAACCTGCTGTCCTCTCCATTAGAGCTTTAGACTATGTTAAACCTTAGACGTCCAGATATTCACCTTGATCCGATAAAAAAAAAAACTCCCTGAACTCCAGTTTTCCTTCAAACTACTTTCATCTTCTCAACAAGAATCTTCTGTTCTGGTTTCATGAGCTGTCAAAGTTTGTTACAGTTTTCTGTAGTAATCAGGGTTCCTTCACATTTCTATATTATTCGAGAACACTGACAGAGCTTTCCAGGTTAAATATGAATTCACTCCAGATGTTTCTACAGAGCAGAGGCATAGCCAGAAAAGGTTAATAAGGGTAGTCAGGCAATAACCAAGGTACACTGAGGAGATAGGTGCCAGAACCTCCAGGTCAATCTACACTGTTGCAAAAGGAAAATGAACAACCACAACATCCAGAATCTCTAAATAAAGACAAACTTTACTTTCCTACAGCCTTTGCTAACAAATAGATGCATAAATTTAAACGTCCGTAATTTTTTTAGATAAAAGGTATAGTGGATAAAACTTCAGTTTTGAGTTCTGGGGCGAACATCTTATTCATTGTCATTACTTACATATTTTTATTAATAATCATTCTGTAAACAATTGATATTTACATGTACTAATATCTACATTAAATGGATTACTTATTATTAAATTAGTTATTTATCTCTGATTTCAGTGAAGATTCCTAGATGACACGCAGAGACAAATTTCTCTTTACCCCCTTACTTCTGAAAAGAGCATAAATTCTGTATTTATCCTCTTTAATGTTAGTATATTCATTTTTAAATCAACCACAGTGTTCTTGTTGTCAGGTTATTGTTTACATATAGAAAATTAAAATGTTAAATAACCTAAAACACTCAATTTGAGATTCTTACTAGAGGGAAGAAATGGTAAGGCTGGCCAATGTTTGGGTAAGGGTGGCCATTGCCACCCCTGGCCCCCCATCCAGCTCTGTCCCTGGTACTGAGGTCAAAGTTTAAATGCAAACCCCGTAGAAACAGCAGAAGGAAAGATGGAGGAAATAATACATGAATGGATGAGAGGAAATAAGAAGAGGATGAAGGGTTGAGGGACAGAAGGATGGACGAGTCCTACAGTCAGATGGAGTGATGAATACATGTAAAGCAGGAGGGAGGGAAGGATGAAAAACTAACCCTGTAATGCCAAATGTATCGTATTTGATACATACGGTTTCTGAACAGTTTTGCATCTGACACCTTTTGCATAATTTAATGGTAAAAACTTTGCTCAAAATCCTATTGTAAACAATCAGATATACCTGATAACAGAGGGCAGAAGACTACACAAAAAATAATCTTGACTTATCGCACAGTAATAAATTATTAATATCAAAAATGTATTTCTGTTTTTTCNTTTCTGCTTCTCAACAAGACTCTTCTGATCTGGTTTCAAGGGCTGCCAAAGTTTGTTACAGTTTTCTGTAGTAATCAGGGTTCCTTCACATTTCTTTATTATTCCAGAACACTGACAGAGCTGTCCAGGATAAATCTGAATTCAATCCAGATGTTTCTACTGAGCAGAGGCATAGCCAGAAAAGGTTAATAAGGGTGGCCAGGCAATAACCAATGTAAACTGAGGAGATAGGAGCCAGAACCTCACGGTCAATCTACACTGTTGCAAAAGGAAAATGAACAACCACAACATCCAGATTTTCTAAATAAAGACAAACTTTACTTTCCTACAGCCTTTGCTAACAAATAGATGCATAAATTTAAACATCCGTTATTTCTAGATAAAAGGTATAGTGGATAAAACTTCAGTTTTCAGTTTTGAGGCGAACATCTTATTCATTAAATGGATTACTTATTATTAAATTAGTTATTTAGCTCTGATTTCAGTGAAGATTCCTAGATGACGCGCAGAGACAAATTTCTCTTTACCCCCTTACCTCTGAAAAGAGCATAAATTCTGTATTTATCATCTTTAATATTAGTATATTAATGTGTATAATTAACCACAGTGTTTATGTTGTCAAGTTATTGTTTACATATAGAAAATTAAAGTAATAAATAAATAAAACATTTACACCGTCTGTATTAGAGGGAAAAAATGGTAGGGCTGGCCAATGTTTGGGTAAGGGTGGCCATGGCCACCCCAGGCCCCCCGTCTAGCTCTGTCCCTGGCACTGAGGTCAAAGTTAAAAAACAAACCCCATAGAAACAGCAGAAGGAAGGATGGAGGGAATAATAGATGAAAGAATGAGAGGAAATAAGAAGAGGATGAAGGGTTGAGGGACAGAAGGATGGACGAGTCCTACAGTCAGATGGAGTGATGAATACATGAAAAGCAGGAAGGAGGGGAGGATGAATAATTAACCCTTTAATGCCAAATGTATCATATTTGATACATACGGTTTCTGAAATGTTTTGCGTCTGACACCTTTTGCATAATTTAATGGTAAAAACTTTGCTCAAAATCCTATTGTACACAATCAGATATACCTGATAACAGCCAGTAGAAGACTACACAAAAAATAATCCTTACTTATCGCATAGTAATAAATTATTAATATCAAAAATGTAATTCTGTTTTTTCTTTTTACATATTTTGTTAAAAGGGCAAATAAGGAATTCAAACAAAAAAAAAGTAATTTTCTGTTTTGTTTTACTCTTGGATCGGGCTTTAAAGGGTTAAAGGAGAGACAGACAAAGGTGAAGAAAGAAAGGATAAATTAATGTTCAGTTTCATTATTGATGATGTGGAGAATTTGACTGGAAATCAAAAGTGAAACCAAACAGCTGTTATCCAGATACCTTAATGAAAGAGAAAAAGTAAACACAATCATAGTTCTTCTGTTATATTTCATCTACATTTCAGTAAACTACAACATGGGCTACATTAATAATTGGCAATCCTTTTGGGGAAAGCCTGGTCCCATTCAGAGAGACGGCATCCATCCCACTTTGAATGGTGCAGCTCTTCTTTCTAGGAATCTGGCCACATTTATGTTACCCACTCATTACTCCATCCAGACAGTGTTTAGCCAACGACCAAAATCTAACAAATTAGCAAAGATTCCCAAACATGATAATATAATAAAAATTAAAAATAACTCCAATTGGGGAAAAAGTTATGAAGATTAAATGTGGTCTATTTAACATAAGATCTCTTTCCTCTAAAGTCTGCTAGTTAATGACTTGATTTGTGATAATCACATTAATTTATCTTGCCTTACAGAAACCTGGCTGCAGCAACAGGATTATGTAGCATAAATGAGGCAACTCCTTCTAGTTATTTAAATTTTCACATCCCCAGAAGTTCTGGGCGAGGAGGAGGAGTAGCAACAATCTTCCAGTCTGACTTACTGATTACTCCAAAGGCAGTTAATAATTACAACTCTTTTTGAACATTTAAACTTTATAAATTCGCAGTAATCTCCGGTGTTTCTAGATTATTTTTCTATCAACTTTAAGCACTTTATTGTAAATTCTCTAATCTGAGTGTTTGATTGTTTCCCATCCAGAAATGAGCCCCATCTAAAGGTGAGTAATCCTATCCATGCTGGACCCTGTCCAGGTGAGAGATGATGTTCTGTTACACCTGACATCCGCGCGCGCGGCACCGTCAGGCCAGCTGTCAACAACAAGCAGAGCCCTGCGTCTATTATCGGACAGGAGGAGCAGCTCCCTTTTCTGGATTCTCTCCTCTTAATCTGACTTAATCCTTCAGATCCGGAAACTCTTTAAAATAAACTCTGATCACATCAGATTGTATCTTCTGATTATATCAGACCTCACTGTTCCCTTATCGCTCGATTGATTAATCTAAATGCCAGCTGTAAGCTCAGACCTACCGATGGCTAAAACACAACTAACAAAGGTTCTATTTTTTTAATCTAGGTTCAAAAAGTCTCAAAAGAAACAGTTCTGGGATAAAAGTGCTACAATTAGCAGGAAATCTCCCGGAAGTTGCCCAATCTGAGGTAAAGCGTCCGAGAATAGAATCACCCCGCAGCTCAGGTGATTCTAATGAAGTTCTGACAGCTGTAATGGACGATTAAAGCGCAGTTTTTACCTACTGCGGAGCTCAGTTTGTGCTGCTTACGGTTAATAACGCGCAGACAACTTCTTCTGACAACTAAACATGAACCTCTACTCTGAGAAGTTCTTCGGGTTTCCAGAAACACCAGAGGGGGCCGCGCTGTGTCCCTAGCCGAACTCAGGCGCTGCTGGCAGGGTTAGTCCAGGCAGCACTCACCGTGTGGGACTGGAGCGTTTGGCTCGCTTCTATCGACGCTGTCAGCGGCTGCGTGTCGTCCAGCAGCAGCCCGCCGGGGGCTGGGGACTTATCCAGGAGAGACATCCCGGAGGATGGACAGGGAAGCCTGAAACGAAGCGTCCGTCTGCTGGTGGTGACACCGAGGCGGAACTGCGCTGAGAATCAGAGGACCTCCGACAGCCAGTTGCCTGCTAGCCTGTTAGCTTGCTAGCCACTAGCAACACTGTGGTGAAACGACGCGATTCAGCGCCAGCGCCACCTGCTGTGCGGAGGGAGAAGTGTCTAAATGCCTTAAAGTGGTGGTTTTCCTTAAACATTCCAATAAATGACTCCTAAAATAAGCAATTTTTATTGGGGGTTTTTTCTGACCATTGTCCCGGGAATTTTTCACTGTAAAAATACTACACGGTTATCAAAAACTGCATAATTATTTACAAAGTTCTAACTAGTTATTTTTGTTCAGAAGCAGGATCTTTAGCTTAATCTGCAGCTGCCTGTAGAAAGTGGATATATGAGACGGACTTTGCTGCAGCTGGTGTCACTGAAAGAAAAAAAAGATCAGCAGTGAGAAGACTAGTCCTCCAGTTCTTTGAGCCCATACTCAAAAAGCGAGCAACAGCGCCACCCATGGGAGGGAAGGGCTTCTGCACCCAAGGGTGTAAGAATCTGGGACTATTTCTGTCTTTGAAGGTATTTTCTAATCATAAATATTTATGCTTTCTTTTCAAATTCAAAGTTACAATGCACAAATACTGATGATTCAAATTACCTCCATATCTGAGCCCAAACTTCAACCTTCTTTATCCACAAACAAAACATTTGCAGTTTTAGGTTGATTGAAGACGACAGGCTTTGTTCCCTCAGACAGAGCTGTTCAGCTATGAGGAAAACCCAGCAGACAATTAACATTTTCTGTATGAACAACAAGATTTTGGCATCACACAAATTTAGTTGAAGTTTAGTGACCTACATCAGTATAAAACCACTATCACTACACATATTGCAGGAGTAAAGACCCTGAATTAAGTTGAAAAGTAAATTTAAGCCTGTTGCAGCAATGTGCATGATGAGTGATTCTTTTGCCATGATGCTAAATTTAAAACATATAGTGGAGCTCTAGTGTATAACTTTAAAAGTTGCCATGGGTAAATGTCATTTTAGGACTGATCTGATTAGCCTCCTCTGGTTTGTAAAATAAAAGTTTCATATTGTTTAGATGTTCTTTAACATGCAGCTTCCAACAGAAACAGAATTGGACTCAAAGGGTATTTTATTTCTTTCACATTTCTGAGGTCAGGTGGTGGGGCACGGGTTACTTGTTCAGTTTCAACGTTTATTGTTTCCTTTTCAGATATGATTTTCAAGTATATAATTATTTCTAGCCCTTTCTGACTCCTCTGGGGGAAACCCTGAGGTGACCTACTGCAGAAAAACTCCCTTCCAGAAGAGTTACTTGCACTGAAACTGGCCATTTCTCAATATGTGTACTTGTGCGTTCTCATGTGATTGTGTACTCATGAAACGTCATCAGCCTCAGCCCTACTACTGTTCCAATTCACAAGAACTTATATTTAAAAAGTTTAACCCTTCATCCTCTGACATGGGAGCTGGCTCAGAGCTTGTCTGCCTGGCTGTGTGTTTCCTTGACGAGGCCACCTGAGGAGCTGGTTGCCTTTTGTATCTATGCTTCTTTTTCTATGTCTGCTTCTGTCTCCTCACTGAGCCTGGTTCTGCTGGAGGTTTCTTCCTGTTAAAAGGAAGTTTTTCCTCTCCACTGTCGCTACAAGCTTAGTGTGAGGTGTCTGGTTACTGCTTAGTGTGTCTGGTTTCAATTTGATAGAAAACATTGAACCAATCTGACTGTATGATGTTGAGATGAGACATGATGATGTGTTGTGAATTTGTGCTATAGCAATAAACTGAATTGTAATTGAATTGAATGTTATCTTTCAATGTTTTAGTTGTTTCAGCTCATACAGTTGGGTAACCGAATCTACAGAAATGAATCATACTAGAAAATCCCAGTAGTGTTAAAGGTAAAATCTTAACTAATTGAGCTTCACAAACATCTCGTTGATCAAATAAATGACTTCATGTTAAGCAGAGTATGTGGACATAATTAGCCTAGTGCACTAGCCACCTGCCAGCAGCCAAAATTATTTTTCGCCTGCATGTGTGTAAATTACACATTTAATCTCACATTTAATCTGGTTTATGAGGCTAGGAAATAATTGCATTATTGGGAGATAGTAAAGCACAAGTACCGTCAACTTGGCTGTAAATTGTTCGCAATTTTGTCAGACAACATTTCCCTCACTTAGAAATAAGATCAGTTCAACATAGTTTCTTCGAGCTTATAAAAAAGCCCCCTACTTCTAAAAAGCTAATTTCTCACTTTGTTAATCTTTTCAGTTCATCTCCTTCTACTAATCATATAAAAGAGGTCTGGGCTTCCGACACTCTTGTCGATATTTCAGATGAGATGTGGAATTTGAGTCTGTCAAGGATCCAAACCTGTTCCATTAATTCTAGATAGCAACTTATTCAATTCAAGGTTATCCATCGTTTGCACTTTTCTAAAACCAACTTAATAAGCTATTTCCATGTGTCTCTCCAACAAATGTAAATCAGATAATGGGACTTTGGGTCATTTGTTTTGCTCCTGCCCTAAGCTTATGGACTTCTGGTACAGAATATTAAAAAAAAATTGTCTCTGCAGCAGGCTCTAATGTTTGGTTTGGTGGTTACAAAACGGGTTATTCTGCGGGAATGGAAATCCTCTACCCCTCCATGCTTTGAGAAATGGCTCAATGATATGGTGTCATATAGGTATCTCGAAGAAATTCGATACTCTTTGCCAGACAATCATTATAAGTTCCTAGATGTGTGGGGTCCTTTTAATAGACATATTCAAAATAATAGGTTAAAATGACTCTCAATTTTCCTGGACCTTTTTTTTTTTTTTTATTCTTTTTTTTATTATTATTCATTATTGTCTCAATACTGTCATCCTTTATTGCACTCTTCTTTTATTAATATCCCATGTTTCATGTTGATCCGCTTGACACAATGTCTCCAGAATTGTTTTTTGTCCTCTCTGACTCTGCCTCGTTCTTTAATATGCTCTACAGTTTGATCAGTACATCTTTTATCCTTTTATCATTTCTCCAGTTTGTTGACACTGTTTTGTCTTGTTTTTTGTTTTTGCTGTACTTGTTTACTGTTTTGCTGTATTTTTTCCCCTCTCTTTTGTCTTGTCTGTTTAACTCTGAAAAAGCATTAAAAAAATAAATTAAAAATGTGGCTGTAAATTGGGGAAACTTGTCCTTATGGTTTGACGTGGAGCTTTTATTTATTTCTTACTCTGGCAACCTGAGGAATTACACAAGAATTTTGACCTCAGGCAGAAGTGTGTTGTATTTCTAACGGTCCGTGAACGCAGCACGGCCGTTGCTCTTTAAAGGCGCATGAAAGGCTGAGCGGCGGTTATGTAATGTGGGTGAAAGAGGAAGAAAGAGGAGAGGAAGAGGAGTGAATGGAAGACAGCAGCAGGAGGAGCAGGACAGGTACGGTTCGGTTCTGCCTTTATTCTCGGTTTTAGACATTTTCCGTCTCTTCTCGCTGTCCTGGGTTTATATAACAAACATTATTCAGCGTCAATTAAAGGGACAGTTAAAGACATAAAGCGAAGTTTCCTTTAATGCTGCTTTTAAAACTGTCATCTCTACTAACTCTTTCTAGCAGCTATAGTTAAATTCAAACTTGTACAGTTTTATTTATGCTGCTGTTATGTTCCTGTCAGGTTAAGCAGGCTGTTTAATTAGGGTTATATTGAGGCTAAACTCATTCACACTCAAACTTATTTTAAATGAAATAATCTGCTGTTTATCCTTCTTGGACCTTTAGTCCCTGAAAATATAGAAGCTGAAATGCAGGTTTTTAGATCTGCTCTAAATGCTCCAGGGATTAAGAAGTTCATTTCAGAACCAGAGGCTCTAACTGGGCCTGTGGTTCTGATCCAGGTTTATCTCCTCTGTTTCTGTCACCTTTATAGCTCACTTGACCCCAAACCATCAGCGACCCACCTCCGTGTTTCACAGGAGGAATGCTGTGCTTCTTTTATTAGTCCTTGGGGACTCTAGACGCAGCAGTGATGATTTTATCCATGAAGTTTAATTTTAATCTTCTCAGTTCCTCTAAATTTGTTCCAGATGTTTGTCTCTGTGTTGTAACAGATTTGGAGGAAACTCAACCATGCAGCCTTTTTTTTGTCTCGTTTGGTGAGTCATAAAAAAAAAA